CACGGTTGTTGTCGGTTAATTCATCACATGTATTCATTATACGGTTGTCAAAGTTTGACAAATTGGATGTAGCATAATCTAGGACTATAGTAAGTTCAATTAACTTTAAACAAAAAGTTATTAGCTGAGTAATTAACTAAAATTCTTCAATTTAACATTCAACGTTTGACCAACATACTTTTTTTAATACATCATGATTAGAAAAAAAATGTATTACTACAACTTCATAGAGGTATGTTGAGAATGTATAGAATGCACAGGAGAGGTTCTGTAAAACGGAATATTACCATGACATACGATATATGTACATACACCTATGTCCTGTTAATGGCAAAACCTTAAGAGTAGGTGCCAAGTCTGCTTGGAGCTGCTGATGGACTATTTGTCGTTTCGTGTTTGTAAATGTTTACATTTTGTTGTTTTGCCTATAGATAGTATTTGTTGTCATGATTTATCGGTTTGTTGTAGTCAAAAATGTACGATAATTAATGGATGTCATTTCAGTATATTTAATTCTCAAAAATTTTTGATTATGAGGTTTCGGATTCTTGATATAACAAGTTAATTAGTTAATGAATAGGTTCTTGGAGCATAACTATGGAAGTTGTTAGAAATTCTTCGATGCTTGATAATAATTGCTGACCTCCAGAAATTTCTGAAAGTCGATAAATTACCTCTGCACTGATTAGCCAATATTTTTAAATTTATTGATTATGTTACACTACTTGAGTTTAAAGACCTTATTTTAAATCAATTCATAACTGTGCATGTCCAAGTAAAATCATACATAAATATTTCTAACACTGTCATTCTAAGACAACCTTATAGTTAATATTCAAGAAGGAATCGTTTCCACACATGTATCAACAACTCCTGTGTAATATTGATTTATGACCCAACGATAGACCAGTAGGTGCAGGAAGCTGTAGGTAACTTATGCAGATAGAAATTATCAAAAACACAGTCGGACACAGCATCTACCATCCCACGCATATTACTTACCGTACAGTTGCTGCTTTATTTCAAATGCAAAACTGATGATAAATGTGTGCTAAAACATCAAATTGCAATTACCAAATTTAAAATGTTATTTGTTTTGTAACGTTTATTTTAATTAAAATCGTTAGGAATTAATTTATTTTACGTATTGATTTAGGTGGAGATTGAATATGTGAGAATAGAGATTTATGTAGGGCAATAAAAGTAATACGTAAAACGGTCGGATAATCGAGAATAGCCTCTTTTAGAATGTTATAATTGGATGTAGTCGCTGCTTGCGTACTAAATCAATTTATGTATTTAAATGTAAGCGACTGGTTTGTCTAACGAAGTGAGTGGTGAGTCATCTTTCTTTACTGGGGGACTACTCTGTTATTAGTTTATTTGCAATAATTATTAAATTTTTAGTTTCCCAACTTAACCCGTTGCTTTAACTCGCCAAATACACCTGAATGTACTGTATTCACCACATTCACACCTGCGTACAAAGCGCAACAAACTCGACCAAGCAATTTCAAAATGAATAACATTTATTCATTGATTTCTATACAATTATACTCCGTCCAAATGAGACTAAAAAAGTGAGTTTTATAAAAATCCCAAAAAGACATATGTCAACATGTCTTCAAAGTGGCATATAAAATAAGTTTTACGATTAAATCGTAGCTATTTTTTTGGGGTTATATTATACAATGTTTGGTTTCTTTTGTATTGAAATTTTTTAAGCAAAGGAACTACGCAGTCTAGAGTCTCTAGACAGAAAAAAAGATTGAATGAACGCCACTCCTGCGGGAGTTCATTTACAATTTCTTTGTACCCCATCACAATGGACACTCTTTACCGATTGTAAAGAAGAACTTTGAAATGCCACTGATTATCGCGTCGACGACGCGACGGTTTTACACTTTTTTTTTTAGTTATCCTTTTTGTAGAATGCAAGGCAGTAACAGGTTCGTCTAAAGTAAACCCATGAGACATACGTTTTCTTTAAAGATCAAAAGCCCATCCTTTCTTTCTTTTTCTTCCAACATCAGCAGGTTCAATCTCTGGTTGTTGTTGTTGTGAAGCGTGTTGGACGTGGCAGTGTTTGGTTTTTAGATGGGGCCATATTCTGTCATTTTAAGATTAATACGCAAAAGCATTAATATTAATAGAAGTCGGTTTACGGCGTGTCCTACGACTATATTAGTCACTCACGTGTGCCCAGTAACTGGTTTTGAAATCGTTTCACAGCACTCTAGATACCGAGCCGGCCAATCGGCTCTCTCTTCGTCGCAAATATAAAATATAAATTAATGAATAAATGTTTACGTAATGGCTACGACCGTTTACCACCGCTACTCACTACTTCTATGCGACCGTTTCGTTTAGGTGCTGATTACGTCTGGTGTCTTGTAATCGTTCTTTATTGTTAAAGATGGCGGACCGAATAGATTTTAATTGAATATGGTAACATTTTACGTTAAAGTTGTACTCATTCATATGGTTTTAATAAATATTTTTTGCTTTATTACATTATTTGTTAAATATTTCAAAAGCAATGTAACCAAGTTTAATATTTATACAGAAAATTTATTTAATAAGATAACTAATCCAACCCAACCCACTATATTTCTTGCTCCATTTTTATGTTAATTTTCTATTAAACAACAATATTTTATGAACTTCCTTGAGTAGTTAAAATTTTGTATACAGTGACTCCACAAAGTGGGGATTTAATTATATCATGTTTGCTTAAAATATAAAGAAATAGCAGTAGATATGAGTAACAACCTCGGATTCTGAGTTATAATTCATCCATAGCAATTAAAGGTGTGGAGTAAAGTTTTTTGCATTATTCCTACCAGAAAAAGTTCAGTGAAATCAAACCTGATAATTTTGATTCCAGAATTCTAGTAATGCATATTAATATATTAATTATATTATAAGGCTTGACTAAAGCATAACACATCCATGTTGTGCATGCCAGGTGAGATCTTGGAGAAACATCTGCCCCTTTCCAAAGGAAACCAACAGGAAGAACGGATGAAATCTCGGATCAACTACAATAACACATACTTCTCCATCCATGAAGCATTACGCATTACCAAAAAATATACAAGTATTCACTTTTGAAGAACTGTTCATGCACTCCTAGATGCAGTATTGATTGAGGTTCGGTGAGAATATGGTCCAATCTTAATACAGTCTTAGAATAACACGATTCTCTACAGTCCAGAAGTGATAGAAACAAAATGATATTGATTTAAAGTGGATTTGATGGAAGCTTACTACATTCATCAGCACAGGGGTCTGTTCTCAGTGCAGAACTCTGAAACGTCTTCTATGACACTATGCTCTGCATGAAAATGCCTGAAAAGGTTTTCGTATTGGGCTATGTGGACAACCTTATGGCGATGAACATCTCCATTGCAACGATCAAGTTTTAAAAAATCTTGGACATTCAGCCGATCAAGTAGTTTTTGTTTGTTACATGTTCTGGCAATATTCTGATGTTATTAGAATGTCTTACGACGCTCCCCCGAAAAACACGCCACACAATTCATGAAACGATTTTTATGTAGGGCGCTGTACCATGTTTCCAAGTCAGACCCAATGCCAAAAGCATATAAATAGGGTGGCGATAGAAAAAAGTTGTTCTGAGCATACAAATATAAATTTGATTACCTGTATCTATGCAATTTTAGGACTCATCATTATCGCTATCGTCTCTGTGTTTAAACTTGTTTGGAAAAAATACCATACCAGCTTCAACTATAAATGTCTTCAAATATTATAGAAAAAAGTGTCAAAGATTTAATAAAAAATTGATTTGATTCTTTAGGAACACACTGTATATAAAAAGGTTGTTATTGCTATTAATAATATAAGAACAATATCTATTCATAATGGAAGGTTGAAAAAAAAAATGAAAAAAATGCTAAACGAGCTCGACCTAAATATAACAATGCTAGTGACAATGACTTTGGCATAAAGGTCATACGACATGGGCTTCATGTTCCCGGTGCCATTGTTCGCAATTTTTGTGCACTTGTGCCTACCTATACGTGTGAACCATGCTCCTTGCCAACTACACAATAGACGCCGTGTACGCGTACCTCAATACCGAGACAAGTTCCGCGCAACGGACAAGAGTGATCTTGATATGACTTGACACGATCCGACGATATAACGTGCAATAAAGATCATTTTGTACACGAGCCCACCACTTTACTGTCTATCTCCTAAAGGAACGCAAGCTTTCTAATATTATGTACAACACTTAACAACATTAACAGCAGATTATCATCATTCGTTCAATCAAAAAAAAGAAACACAAAACCTTTTTTGTTTTCTAAGAAAGTTCGTTAATGAAGCAGGTTGGATGAAATTTAAACATAAAAAATGAATAAGCATTTCGACGTCATTCTTGTGTCACGGAGGAAATGTAAACGCGGCTGTCAAAGGTCAAAACAAAGACGGAAACAGCCGCGGCGTGACCTACGACCCCGGGGAGTTGTGGCAGCACATACATTATTAATGGCTAGAACGCTTATTGTTGCCAGCAACCTAACGCCGCCGTTGAGAAACGTAATTTGTTGAAATGTTTATGACTCTATCGCCATGTAAGTGCCGAATGATCTCTTAGTAAACTGACAACAATAGGACGAAACGTGCGAACCAACTTCTTACAACTTGCTGTTATGGGATAATAACTTTCGCGTTTTAAGGCGGTAATAGATGTTATGTATGGAAAATTAATCACTACAAGATGTTTTACAACACAAATAATTTAAAGTTATTTGTTTAGATTATGATTAGATATATGTAGTTCTCAGATTGTAATAAGGATGGCGCCACCAACTGGTTATATATAAGTATACATATATAAGTATGTGTGTAAGATTAATTGATAATAATTAAGTTAATTAATTGTAGGATTTATAAAGGATAAATAAATTATTTTACTTACCTTAAATCTTAATATCTTAAAAATGACTTATAAATATAATAAAAAAACATTTTTTTTTAGAAAACATGTTTATTCATAGTATAAAAATCTGTCATGTCATAAATGGTATAAAAATTCTACATCCATAATATAAGGCACTGTACAATGGCAATATTTTAAATCATAATAGTATAAAAACTATGAAGAAAAACATTTCTTCGTTGACTAGAAACTATTATTACTATAATATTTGTGTTTTCGCTCTGTGCGTCTGTACATAATTGTTTCGTTTTTTTTAAAAAAATTTCCAAAAATATTGACCAGAATCATTCACCTTTTCCGAATAGGACGCACAAATATTTACAAAAAAAAAGAAAAAAAATGTAAAGAATACAAAGGTGATAGAAATTTTTTTTAAGTCTCCATCAACTTAGTATTAAATTACAACGCTAAAATAAATGATATAATGGTCGTAATGATAATCTATTATTCGATAACTAATCACTATGTACAAAACAGTATGAGAAAGAAAAAATAATCGAGAATGGAATATATTAAATTTGTTCATTTTGTTTTCTATTTACAATTATCATATAAAAAATATTTACAAAATACATCTTTTTTTTATCAAAATCCAAAAGAACAATCTGTTTTTTATTACTGCTTTTCAGTCTCTGCGGTTATAAGGTACGTGATATAAATTTACGGTTACTTTTATTTTTCTAAGGCACATTTGTATAAAAAATTTTTATTTTAAATATAAAAGAAGTAATAAATATCGTGAAATATGAAATGATCGGCAATGAGAAAAATAAATTACAGGAACAACTTGAAAACATTAAAAAATTTTCGTTTTTAATACATAGTTTCCGGTTTTATCTGCATTATCGTCCCACTGCAACCGCTTTCGTTGTGTTTCGTTAAAAGGGACATTCTCGAAAACGTTTTACTACATGTTTGACACGAGTATTTTTTCACATCAGAATGGGTTTGTAAATGAGCTCTTAAATTAGACCTATCGGCAAAAGCCCTATTACAGTAAGTGCAAGAAAATGGTTTTTCTCCCGTGTGGGTTCTAATATGTCCTTGTAATAACCACGGTCTTGAGAAAGCTTTTCCACAAATCGTACATTTACATGGTAACGTGTGCGTTCTAATGTGCATTTTCAATGCACCCAAAGAGAAATAAACTTTTTCGCAGTACTTACAACTGAAGGACTTTCTCGGTCCTTCGCCGGCAGCACAATGATATTGTCGGTGTTTGGATAATCCAGAAAATGTTGAATAACTTTTTCCACAATCTTGACACTGGTGTCGAACTCCTTGTCTTCGTTTTTCAGATAAATCTTCAGCGACAACTGGTGGCGGCGAAGTCGTTGATGAATTTGGACTTAAGGAAGCTTGATCGATCGAGTACACGTTTGGTCTTAATGGTAAAGGAGCGATTGGTTGTTGATGATGTGGTGGCGATAACGACGAATCACTGTTATAGGAACCAGTTGGAGACATGGACATGTATTCGTGATGATGATGGTGATGATATTGATATGGGATGAATGGATAACTTGGTGGGTACATTGGGGCCGCACTTATACTTCTATGCCACGTTTGTGGAGCATACTCTGGACTTATTGGTGTTGGATAAATCGGTTCCGTCTTTAATGGTGGATAAACGTAATGAGGCGGAGATGGCATCGATGGTGAAATTGGAGCTGGCGATGTCGGTGGGCTTGAATGGGGACTTGATGTCCTTGACGATGTCGATTCTGGTGATTTTGAGTACCTTGAAATGCTGAGATCTTCGGGTTTGGTACTTAAATTTTCTGGCTCATCTAGAAATAAATAAATAATTAAAAATTTGATCAAAAAAAAATTAATTTAATTTAATTGATTTCGAAGTGAATTTGGAAAAGAAATTTACCTGATGAAGAAGACATTGAAGCATTATCCTCTTCTTCGATAAGATGATATGGCCGTTTTTTCAACGGGCAATTTCTATAATTCTTGTTCATGATGGTCACAGGCATGGTGAAACACTCACAAAAAAATCCAAATTAATAGAAATAAAAGTCCAAGTTGTTTTTTTTTTTGACACAAAATTCGAAGAGCACTTAATACGCGAACTGACCGGCTTTTTTTGAACCAAGTTCAAAAAAGTTATCGTATGGTTCGAGCACGTCTGGTGTTGTTCACCGTTTCGAGTCAGGCGAACTTCTGGTCTGGCTCGACGAGTTTCTCTGCTAATAACTGAACACACCAGGTGTAGCACGTGCTCGAGAGCCAATCAGACGACGAACTCCGCTGTGGAACTACCAATCGTAGTGTTTTGGTGGGGGCTCAGAACGAGCAGGTGTGAATTCAGGCTCGGGGTATATGGAGAAGGAGCAGGAGGTAGCGAAAAACTGTATTGTCTAGAATTTAGATAGGGTGTATGGGGTAATATGTGGTTTTAAGAAAAGAAATATAACAAAAAAGATGTGATTTAAAAAAAAATATATAGTTTAAAATCTATATTTTTGTGTAAAATAAGTTTTATAAAGGAAATGTTTGCAAGAATTGTTATTTTTAAATCTTAAAAATACTCCAAAATTAGTTTGTTTTTGTTCATAAAAGAAAAATATGTTTGTTAACTTTATAATAACATAAATAAATAAAAGAAAAATATACCCTAATTATTCTCAAATTACCCCTAAAATTATTCTAGTTATTTCAAAAAGAAAAACATATACTCTATAATTTTTTTTAAATTATAGTACCAGTAGCTAAAGCAAGCATTGTATGAATTGTGTAATAAGAGCTGATGTAAAGGTGTTCTCAGATCGATTCGTTCACATGCCCCAGCAATACGAAATTATGCCTTATTATGTCTTAACAGTTATGAGCTTTCGTTGCCGGTGCTAAGTATCGTATGACGATGCCGATGACGGGTCTTAGTAAGTGCGCACACCTTTGCTGGAAGCAGATGTGCACGAGAAACGTACACATATTGGGGTGGCGTTAGAAACCAAGAGAAATCAGTTAGGAGTCTCTAAAAACGAGACATCTGGTGGACCCCAAGTTATACACCTGATCAGACCATTCAAAAGACAGGAACAAACTTGACAGAAATGTACCAAAAACAATTAATTAAACGAATAAGTATTATTTACGATTATTTTTTTAATTTTGCGTTTATGTAATGTTTAATTTTTTATAAAAAATTCATAAGTCACTATATATACTCGTCTATTTTTATAAAATTGGTAGCGTAGGCACGCGAGTGGCAGATGTGCATTTGAGACCGTTACGGCACACCCTTCGGCGGAACAGAAGGGCCGACGCCCCTGGACCTTCGCCCCTCCACGTCCCTCGGGTGCCCACCGAAAAATAGACGGGGTGCCGTACCAGTAGGTGCGGTATGCAATGTGCAAAAATGCACCTTTCAAAAACCAGTACCTAGGGCTTTGTGTTACTATTTTTATTTCGACCAAGAGAAGATTTTAATCATCGTTCGGGGATCTTGGTTTCGGTTTGCTTTTCAACCTGGCCCTCGGATGATTTAAAGGCCTGTATAAACGCGTTTTTCAAGGGTAACTCAAAACCGGAAATGATTTCATATAATTTATAAAATTAAACTAAAAAAATTACTAAAATTTTTTTAAGATATACTAAAAAAATCTTAACATACTAAAATCGTAGATTTATATCAGCTTTTGGGTTAAATCCAGCAACCGGAAGTGGCATCTATCTTAAATATATATTGAACCCTTTTCTAATAAGGTAAATAATAATAAACTTGCACGTTAATTATAAATAAATGGTCAATATTTTTTAAGTGCTATTGTAGTTATGAAAAATATTTAGATATAAAATTTCGATTTTTTTAACCGGAAATAGTGCATTATCTAATCAGGTCATAGTTTTTTTTATATAATTTGGCATTTTAAACAGGGGCAAACTTAAAAATTAAGTGTAGGCTACTCCAGTTAATTAATTATCGTTGTAATAAAAATTTTTATCCAAAAACGTCAATTGTGAGATTCGTTGGATGTGATAAGGAAATCATTCATGGAGTGTGTTGTTTTGAAGTATTATGAACAATTTTTATTAATATCATTCACATCCACAGTTTTTAATTTACCACATTGTTGCTAAATGCGATATATTTGAAAATTTAAATCCGCTAGGTTGGCAATAATTATAGTTGGATTAAAATCGTTTACAGATAATGTTTTGATGCTTCGTTATAAATAATTCCCATCATCAATATTTTATCCTATCATTTTTACTTTTTGAGTTACAATAAAAATATTGATCGAAAAGCGTAAATTAGAGATTTGTGGATTTGATGGTTTACAACAAAAAATTTAAATTAGTTATACATAAATAGTTCATGGATTACGCCTTTGTGATGTATTATGAACAATTTTTATTAATATAATTCTCATCCACAGTTTTTAATTTTTGATTTAAGTCACTTTATTGTTGAATGCGTCAAATTTATAATGTATCCCATTTTTAACCCGCTAGGTCGGTACTAAATCAAAATTGGGTTATAAAAGCTTTCGGGTACTATTTCGTTGTTTCATTACAAACAATTTTTATCAATAATATTTTTTCCTAGCATATTTAGTTCTTAAGTTACATTGCAATTTTTTGAATTTCGAGATTTTTGGGTTTTTATAGTTTATAACAAAAGATACGAATTAATTAGAACGAAATCACATGTTTTGTGATGTATTAGGAGCAATTTTTATTAATATGTTCCTCATCTACAGTTTTTAATTATTGAGATAAACACCATGTTGTTACTAAATGTGTCTAATATGAAATGATAAAGATTTTAAAACATAGCGTGTTAAAAATTGGGGTTGGGTTATAATTAGTTACGGATAATGTTGGTTTATAATAAACAATTTTTAATCATGAAATTTCTTCGTAACATTTTTAGTTATTACGAAAAGTTTTAACCAAAACCATTAATATTAAAGCTTTACAAATACTATAAAATCTTTTATGGAAATTTAAAAACATTACCTACCATTTACCCCTATTAAGAAAGAGGAAAGCTATGCTAACACGACATCCGTTTTGAATTACCGACACCCGATTGTCATTCAAAGTAAGCACACGTGCATTTTCACCATATTCATTGGTGGTAATGGAAAAAGTAAGAAGAGAAAAAGGACGGAACGAAAACCGGATGCTTAAAAGTACGTTTAAAAAGTTTTATGTTCCTGAACATCAAGTTTTGTGGCCTATATTAAGCACGAATAGTTAAAGGAAAAAAGGACCGGATTAAATTAATAAAAAAAATGATAAAAATGTATTTCCGTTGCAGATATATTACTAAAAAACGTTTATATAAAGGACTAATAATGTAAACAGTTCGATATTATCCGTTTGATAAATCAACTGCAAATCAACTCGGTCACACCTTGCTAACAAACACCGGTATACATACATTACATTTTTTCATCATTTCCGTTTTTCTTATCGTACGCAAATAAGCGCAAGATTTAGGTAAAAAGACACCTTTTAGTTGACTACGACTTGCTCGGTTTTTCCTCCCCTTTTCTGTGTATCGTTTTATTACTGGGTTAGTTTACACTATGATAAAGTAGCAATCCTTCACGCTATGAATGTTCCAATTATTATCAAAAAATATGCGGCCCTGTGTGAAAAACTGCGTCTGATCAATATTTGAGTTAAAACTCACAACACAGGTCTCTTTTACATATTGTACACATGTGCGACTTTGCATCGTATCAATTGATAAAAGAGATACCTTATTTGTAACGATTTATGAATACAAGGACTTGTAACGTTTCTTTACACAGAGTTATGTAAGAAATAATATAAAAAAACTTTTTACTTTAATCTTTCGAAAAAGGTTTATTTAAATAGTCTTTCTGTGCACTTGGTAAAAACCTGTTTCTGACCGACCAGTATATGTATCGAGTACCATATCTAGACCATAAGGGGACCACCATCGAGAGATAAAATGGGCAGTTCGAGACGATAACATTACCAAATACAACTGTAACGCCGTCAAATAAATCGGACGGTGGTAAAAGAGGAGCAAAGGCGTGTTTCGCCACATAAAGGCGGTAATGATGAAAAATGAGCCAATAACAGTTCGGGCGACGAATTGAGCTCGACACGCAGGTGGTCGTGACGCGCGATGCCAAATTTGCATTCTTATACATGTCGCACTGGTACAAGTATACGAGAAATCGACAGCACACAACCGGAGAGAGAAACGAATTACAATATGAAAAGCGATCTTGACCAGAAAGCAAACAGGTCCTGATTAAGGACTAGTTTAAAATTTTAATACAGGGGGCTAAATCTGTTTAGACATTAAATAAATAAACCTAATAGAATATATTAACAAGTTTTTATTATACAATCACAAATATTAAAGAAACATTTAACTTGTTTTTTTTGAAACTTCTAAGAATACTTTAAGTAACATTATGAAAATGTTGTTTTTGAATCGATGTTTACAATTTTTGTTATTATCGGGACTTGTTTACCAATAACGTAAAGATCAGGTAATTGGTTTCAAAGCACCCATAAAACTTGTTTGTTCCTCAACACAATAGTTGTAAACAATGAAATTTGAAAGGGATGGTACCATAAAATCTAAAATGAACCCGGCCTGAAAATGACTCATACTGGTGTAAACACCTTAATTATTTTAAAAATATTTTGAATAACAAAGCTGAAAATAAAAATATTACCTAGAATCTAGCAATTTTTTATTTTTAGCTACATCACGAGTTAGGATTTGATTAGCTCTTATCCAAAGAAGTGCAAAAATATATACTTATGTACATTATGATGAATCAATTATATAAGCTATATCCGGTAACCTTATTGTCCAAGATGTTATCGCGTTCGATTAATTAGCTAATAGCCGAACGATGATCAAACCAATAGGAACCATCGAGGTAGCTTGAATTTGATATATCAAAATTTTATAAGAAGATATTTACCTTCAAACCGCCAAAGTCGCTTGCGGGCGAGGCGCTAGAATCCTACAATGCTGACGAATTAGTGTTGAAGTTTTAAATTCAGCGCCTCGCCCGCAAGCGACCTCGGCGATTTAAGGTTGAATCATTCTTTGCATATCTTGGTAAAGACACAAATTTGTCATAAAACGATATTTATCCTCAAACCGCCGAGGTCGCTTGCGGGCGAGGCGCTGTATTTAATACAA